GAACCAGTGCTTAAACAATTGAAAACAAACTTTGTCATGAAACCTGTGATGTTTAGCAGTTTTTTTGCAAGAAGATAATCATATTAGCCTTTTCTGGAGCTATACGGCATCGCTCTTGGCTGATGGCATGCCCAGCACAAAAGAAAACTCTTTCAGAAGGCGTTGATGAGGCTGGGACACACAAGTATTTTTCTGATAGGGCAGATAAATTGGGGAGTGTATCCCTCTTACTCCACCACCAGGCCACAGGGTCTTGTCCAGAGGTAATTCCTGGCAGTCTTTTGTATATTTGAAGCTCCTTATGTACCTGCTCTGTGATTGAGGGGACTCTACCCGCTTGAGAAGCAGCCTGTTGAAGCTCTCTGTCTTCATCCTCAAACAGTTTTTCTAAGGGTGACTTCTGGACCTTACTTAGCTGAAAAACAACAAAAAAAGATGTGTGAGGTTTGCAAAATAAATAAAGATCACTTTTAGAATGTAGTGGTTGTGTTAGAAAAAATCTGAAATTACATATTTTTCTGGCTTGTCCATGTCAGCATCATCCACCTCGCTGTGTGCTTTGGGGTCCTCAGTGGGAGGCTATGGACACACAGATAGTAAAAGAGCATTCCTTCAACATAGAAACTACATCATGATGCAAAAGGACAAGATTGTACACACACAATGAAAATACCTGCGCAACTGCTACTGTGGCATTTGCAACTGCTGCCTTCTCCAACCTGTCCCAGATGTCAGTAGCTGCCTCACCAGCTAGCTTGCCTTTAAAACGTGGGTCCATCATCGTGGCCTCCTTCAGAAATTTCTGAAGGTTTTCATCCTTTAAGTAAAACAAGATATAACATAGGAGCTGATACTGAAAAAAGGTAACCCTATTTTCCATGCGCATTGACATTGTCTGCAAATACCTGATATCTTTTCTGCAGACTACCCCAGACTTTCTCTTTTATTGAAGAGGTGAAAACACTGTCTTCATCACATCGGCTGAAATGTGCCTCCAGCTTGGCCAGGATGGGGATGATTTGGCTGCATGTGGGTGACTTGTCACTTGAGACACACATGGTTGACGTGTACAGGACTTGCATGCACTTAATAAACTCCTCTGCCTTGATTAAATCAGTGTGTGTGAACCTTTCTAGTCTGTTGAAAAATATTCACAATGTTAAAGGTAAATGACGTTATTTAGCTCTTGCAAGTGATGCTCATGTCATTCACTTACTTGTCCTTCTCCATAGGCTTCCTCAGCCGTTGATCCAGAGCAGCTGCCTGGATTGCATCAAACTGCTCCATAAATCTCTCCACCATTAGGAAGAGAGAATTCCAGCGCGTCTTAACGTCAAGAATTACATTATGCTCTGGCAAATCTAAAGCACAGATAGACACAAACATTTTTTTTAAATTAATATAAAAAAGGTAATATGAATAACAATACTTCTTGATATGTAACTGCATGTGCTACTTACTCAGGATTCGCTGCTTTTCTCTGAGCACAGTTTTGCTCAAGGATGAACGTTTGAGCCACACCACAACTGAACGGATTTTGGCACACCAGCTGGAAACTGCAGGAATGTCATACACCTTTTGTGCGGCCAGGTTGAGGGTATGAGCAAAGCATCCCACTTTTAAAAAGTCCAATTTTTTCAAAGCAACATCCATGTTGCAGGCATTATCTACAGTGGCAGCAATTATTTTCCCTCCCAAGTGAAATTGCTCCACAACGCTTGATATTTCTTTAGCGACAACTGGACCTGTTTGTGACTCATAAACTGCTTCAGTGCTGAGCACATTCTGCTTCATTTTGCCTTTGTAGATGTAGTGAACAGTCACTGTGAGGAAATGGTCCTGAGCAATACTGGTCCATCCATCACAGGTGATAGCGACCTTGTTAACCTGTGCCAAATTCTGGATGAGGTTGCTTTTCTCCACACAATACCAAGCAGGTATAAGTGTGTTGGATAGATCATCCCTGGATGGGGGCTGATACCTCGGATTAAGGGCAGAGGACATCTCCCTGAATTGAAGAAAAAAAACAAAACAAAAAAGAAAAAAAAACCATATAGCTCACCTTTTATTCAAATATAGTTTACTTATGATATTTAGAGAAGACTTACAAAGCTAAGCAGCTATGAACATATTAACCTTTACAGTATTATGCAGTCTATTTTTTATGTCAGAGTAATACAACATTTTTCACCTGAATGATGGTGACTCCACCGTTGAAAATGGATGGAGATCTTTGACTATAAATTTTGTCACTGCCCTGTGAATTTCGTCCACTTTTTCTTTCGTCATTTTAGCCTTTTTGGCCAGGATGAAGGGAGTATCTGCCATCAAACAAGAAGACAGCCGCATGTAACTACGACGGTGTTTCCTAGTTCACCTTACATGCATTAATTTAATAACGTGGTTAGCCTACTCAACTTAAATTACACACGAACAACATTAAGATACTCACCCAGAGAAGAACGGGTGCTGCTGCCATCATCATCATCAGTTATCATTTCCGCTACGCTGGCGGCAGGGCTAGGGGCCGGACTCTCCTCTTCGGGTTCTTGGATGTTGCTAACTCCGAGAACAGGCACCGCAGCAGATGTGCTAGGTGTGCTGTCTTGCTGCAAGTTATCAAATGCGGTGCATTTCTCGGCTTTTAAAAAAACGCTATGCGACGCCATGTGTTTCATTAGATTTGAGGTGTTATCTCCTTTGCACATTATTACCTTTAAGCACTTGTTGCAGGCTGCTGAGTTTATATCTTTTGCTGTGAAGTACAGCCACACTCTCGAGCGCTTCACCTTCGGCATTTTAGCTCCGCTCTAAAGAAAAAAACGTACATACCTGGGCCCGCCTACTATCCTGGGAAAGGAAGTGATTGGCTAGATTTCTCAGGGGAAAAAAGCACTGAAATGAAGCACCGAATTGTGCGCTGCTTTTCGGTCTGGTTACTACCGTTTATGTCAGAACCGGTTCCACAATGGCACCGGACACCGGTACCCATCCCTAGATAATAGATAACAAAATCTGCTGGAAACCTCACATAAAGCATATACAAGCCAAACTGTCAAGAAGCATCTCCTTACTAAGTAAAGTTAAATATTTTTTGCCTTCCAAATCACTCCGGGTACTTTATTGTTCACTTATATTGCCATATTTGGAATACTGTGTGGAAATTTGGGGAAACACATATAAAACTGCACTTCAACCAATATGTAAAATTTTAAAAAAAGCAATCAGGATGATTAATAAAGCAGGATTTAGAGACCATACTAACATCATGTTTTTGAAATTAAAAATACTGAAGTTTATGGATCTTATAAAATATAAAACTGCAAAAATTATGTACAAGGCCAGATACAATATGTTACCAGGAAATATACAGAGGATGTTCTATGACAGAGAAGGAGACTATGAATTGAGGGGGAAATTGAATCTAAGGATTCTTAAAGCACGGTCAAAGGTTAAAACCTTTTGTGTCACTATTTATGGGGTAAAACTGTGGAATAGTTTTACTATAGATCTACAGCAATGCTCAGGAATTAGTAAGTTCATGAAAATACTTCGAAAACTGATTTTGGAAGAATATGATACCGATAAAGATGATCACCCATTGTATGTATAAAAATATCAAATTATATCCAAATTATATCAATCACGGTAGCCAAGTTTATATAGGTTCTCCTCGTGTATCGTGTGGAGTATGTGATGATGGGAATTAGGTGAATTATGTGGGATCAATAAGATGTTGAGCAGGGGTAGGAATTAATAAGTATGTTCATACTTCTTCCTACTCCTTTTCAGACCAAACATTGTTACATTATGTCAGACGATTTTGTTTTATTTCATTATATATTTTTTGTTTATCTGAACACATACGTGTGTGTGTGTATATCTACATATATATTCGTATCTGTAAAAGGAAATATATATATATACACACTACATGTGTGTATATATTGTTTTTTGTTTTATATGTCTGAAACAAATAAAGATACAATACAATACAATACAATACAATACAATACAATACATTCCAACTTCCCCATTAGTGTGCTTGTTGGGCAACTTAGAATATGTCACAACGTATTGGGGGGTCATAGTTTGGTCCCAACTTCGCTGTTGTGATTGATGTGGGGGTAGGGACAGGCTTGGGGCGTCGGGGGATTCCCTAGGGACGTCTTCCTTGGAGGACATCAGGAATATTTCAGAGTCATTTAATAAAAATCTGATGAAACATTCGTCTCTATATCAGGACTTTATCTGTCATCCACTGTGATCACCTTCTGTTTTCTTTCATTTCTACAACACCGTGAAAATAAAAGGGAGGTTTGCGTGCTTCGTACACCCCCGTTCTCAGGGCAGGTGGGCTGGGAGGAGGAGGTCTGGGTTGTGGGGCCTCCCTGCTACTGCGGAGTTGGGAGCGGTCTGCTTGTCTCCAACCCAAGGGAAAAGGGTAACACCTCCGGGGTCTAGGTGCAGTTTCCCCCTCTAGTGGCGAGGGTACCTGGACCTGGAGTATAGAGTATGTTTGGAGAGTGTGATTGTGTGTACAGTGTCTATTTTTGTCTGTCTCCACATTGGGTGAGTGCTGAGTATTTGCATATGTGTGCATGAGGGACATACAGGACAGGCGGCAAAAAAAAATGACATGACCTGGATCACATGACCTGCAGATCTGACTGATAGCACTGATAGAGAGAGTTAACCATTTTGTCTTCTTACAGCAGAGACTTGCTTATATTTAGTCATCCATTGCTTTTATTTCAGATACAGAAAATAAAGAATTATATTTCATATCTGTCCACAGGAGTTTGCCTCACATTTAAATGGTAGAGGACTCGCAGAGGAAACAAAAATAAAAATTTTATCATGATGTTACAGCCTGACTTCTTCCTACTGTTTATCTTTGTTGGTCTATTTTTAACAGTGAATCATTTTATTGTTGCTGTTTTGGCGAGCTGTGTGATCATGAGCTCTGCTGCTGACTGGTTCTCTCTGCTCGTCTTTAGGGATTACATCACAGCTGAAACAGGAAATCTGTCTCAGGAGCAGAAGCATGGCTGTCTGAATGCGCTGTCTGCCCTGAGGGATTGTGGGTACAGATATCTCACCTGTTCTCTTCACATTAGACTGAAGGTATGAATACTGTACTGCAGTAGTAATATTCAGAAACCTGCACATTAACAGAAGTCCTTAAATCAAATCCTCCTGGAAATCCTGTCACAGAGGTTTTCAAAGTGTTATCGTGAAACGTTGCATTATTCACCTGAAGCTTGTTCTGATAAACGTCTTTATGTCGCTAAGAGCACTGCTCACATCTCATGGTTTGAAGATCTGACAGTTTCATGTTTAGGGCATTTATTTCTGGAAATGACAGAAGGTGTGTTGGAGTCAGCTGTGGATGCCGCGATGGCTGAATGGCTCACTTCCTCTCGTCGACTTGCTCCTGGACTCTCTGAGCCAACAACTGGTTGACCTGACTGACCTGAAACCAGTCTGCAGAGAGGTGAAATGCCTTCATACCTCTGTATCTGTCTGCACACCTGTCTGTCTGTCTGTTTGACCCCACTGTGTGTCTGCAGTTGCTCCTTTGTGACCTGCATCAGGATGTGGTCCTTAAGTATGTGAAGAGGATGATGAAGACCAAGATGAAGAGCAAGGAGCAGCAGACTGCCGGAGCTCAGCGGATGATTGAAGACGCCAAAAAGATCAACAGCTTCTTCTCTGAGGAGGTGAGACAGGTGCACCCTCACATAGGTGTGCTCACCACCAGGCTGTCTCAGTTAGTTCACTCTTCAGTAATACTGTGCTAGTACTGCAATACTGTTAATGCGTTAAGGCATCTGGGAAGGATCTCAAAACTGGATTATAGATGCCATACAGTTGGTGTCATAAGCCCCGGCCTCTATTCAAAGATGGTCATTCACTCTGGACATAGATGGCTTCTTTCACTCCTCTGTCAAACCATCTTTCTTCTTGAGACCACGCCCACTCACATCCTGGGCCATTTGACCTCAGTAAGTCACATGATAGGGTGGGGCAAGGTCTCATAAAGGGTTCACCCGAAACCTTGGCTGATTGTCACCCAAACCTGTTTTCACGCCTTGGCTCGTGTGATTAGGCAGAGGATCAATAGGGGGTCCATGACCCTTTTTGGGACACTCGATGGGGCTTAAAAATCTGGGACTCCACCGTTTGCTCTTAGAACTGAAGAAGCTTCTTGGATGAAATGTCTTTAAGAAACTTAAAGTCCAGATGCTTTTTAGGCCAAGAAGTAAAATTATTAACAAGATAATCAACCTCTGTTGGAGTAGCGTTCAGGTAGGTATTCTGTGCTGGTACAGAAGATGATAACAGTGGGGTTAATAAATTTGGCCAGATTTCTAGAAATGAAATCTGCTCCACCAAAAGTGTGATGCATGCTGTGTCACGGTCGGACGGTCCTCCCCGGACGACCCTGCTTGTCTATGTATGTGTGTGTGAGTGTGTGTGTTCGCTTCTCCCTCTCTCTCCCCGGTCCTCAAAGCCGTGTTTACGGATGTGTGCGCTGTAGGGAAGGCGTGACCTGGCGACTTTCGTCATCAAAGGTCCCTTCTCGCTGTCGCAGGCCCACCAGCGTCTGATTACCTGGCCAGCTGTTGGCAATCATCCTTCTTTGCCATTCGGAGGTATTTAACCTGGGCTTGCGACGACAGTCACGTGGGATTATTACTCCAAACTGGTAGAATCTTTGCGAGAAGTGTGCTTTTGTTATTCGGCTAGCGAGTTTGCTAATTGTGGATTTTGTGGATTTCCTTCTTCCTCCAGGAGAGTTGGGTGGAGAAGCAAGTTGGGGAGCACACGCACTCACGGAGCCTCTGCATGGAGCACACGGGGAGCAAAGGACGAGCCCTGTTTGGAGATTGCACTTTTTTTATTGTATTGTTGGACTTACCTGTTTTTCTCACTCTCGAGGGTTGAACAAGATTACAGTTAAAAATAAATATCCTCTCCTTCTGCTTGCCTCAGCATTCGAACTGTTACAGGGGCCGGTCATGTTCACAGGGCTCTAGACTAACTTTTTGCCATGGTTGCACCACATCGCTTAACACCGCAGTTTTACATGTGCACTTTTTTTTTGGGGGGGGGTGGGGGGATTGCTGTCCATACAGACAATATTCATTTGTAAATGATTAACTAACAATCTTGTGCTTAAAGTGGTTTGGCACTCTTTGGCAATATTGTAGAAAATGTTAAACTTAATCATCATCTCGGCCTCCTCTGATGACCTGTTTGCTGCTGCCTGCTGCTGAAAGGCAGTGGGGAGAGGGAACACTTGGGCAGTGCATTTATTGCTGCATATAATGTGTTTTCTGGATACACCGTGCTTTTTCAGTGTTCAAAGATTAATGGCTCCGTGTCAGAGCACTACCTATGAATTTCAGATGGATCAGGCCTTAACTTAACAAAAAAGTTATCAATAGTTCTTTTCATCTTTTCTCATTACCCACAGCTACATCCACTTCTGTTGGGCCTACTCACTAGGGCTGGGTATCATCACTGATTTCTATAATCCATTCGATTACAGTTCTCAAAGTCCTGATTCAATTCAATTTTGCTTTCGGTCTTACTAATGCCCCTGTTGTCTTCCAGGCCTTGATCAATGATGTGCTCAGAGACTTTATTAACCATTTTGTTTTCATGTATCTGGATGACTTTCTGATCTTTTTCAGGACCCGGAGAGTGCACATCAACCATGTACATCTGGTCCTATGTCGCCTGTTGGAGAATCGCCTCTTTGTTAAGGCAGAAAAGTCTGAGTTCCATGTTCAAACGTTTTTTTTTTTCTGGTATTCATTGTCTGCTCGCAAACAGGGGCGTTTGCGAGCAGATGCGGCCAAGGTCAAAGCCGTAGTGGAATGGCCAATTCCCAAAACCTGCAGGGAGCTGCAGAGATTCTTAGGCTTCGCCAATTTCTACCCCCGCTTCATCTGGGATTTCAGCAAGGTAGCCCTTCCTCTAACCAACCTCACTTCTCCTAAGTTGTCTTTCCAGTGGTCTCCCACAGCCCAGCAAGCGTTCAATCGGCTCAAGCACCTGTTCTCTTCAGCTCTGGTCCTTGTCCAGGTGTACCTCAGCTGGCCCCTTTATCATGGAGGTGGACACGTCCGACTCGGGCGTGGGGGCGGTTCTCTCCCAACTGATTGAAGGCAAGCTACATTTCTGTGCTTTTTTTCTCCCGTAGGCTGTCTCAGGTTGAGAGGAATTATGATGTGGGTGATCAGGAGTAGCTCGCCATCAAGTTGGCTCTCAAGGAATGGCAGCATTGGTTGGAGGGCAGTGAGCAGCCTTTCGTGGTGTGGACAAACCATAAAAATCTGGCATACCTCCAGGCAGCCAAGCGCCTCAATGCCCAACAAGCCAGGTGGGTCTTGTTTTTCACACATTTTCACTTCTCCATTACCTACAGGCCCGGCTCAAGGAACACTAAGCCTGATGCGTTGTTGGTGGCCCTCTCTCATTCTTGATGTCCAGAACTATGTTTCGGTTTGCCCAGTGTGCGACCTCCAACTCACCTGCCTCTGGCCTCCTGCGACTGTTGCCCACTCCTAAACGCACTTGGTCCATTATTGACCGTTTTTCCAAGGCCGCCCACTTCATTGCTCTGCCCAAGCTCCCTTCTGCCCTGGAGATGGCCCAGTTACTAATGCAATACGTGTTCCGGTTCCACGGCATACCCCAGGACATAGTTTCTGACCAAGGCCCTCATTTTACCTCGCAGGTCTGAAAAGAGTTCTGTTTGGAGTTGGGAGCTCAGGTCAGCTTGTCCTCCGGGTTCCATCCCCAAACTAATGGTCAGACTGAAAGGGCAAACCAAGAAATGGAGACCACGCTGCGCTGCGTTGCTTCATCTAACCAGTCGACCTGGAGCAACCAATTGGCCTGGGTGGAGTACGCCCACAACGCAAGCACCTCATCGGCAACCGGACTCTTGCCCTTCGAGGCATCGCTGGGGTACCAACCTCCCCTCCTCTCTAGCTCTGAGGGAGAGTTGGCAGTTCCCTCTGTAAAGCACCACCTGAGATGCTGTCGTCGGGTCTGGCGGGCCACCCGAGCAGCGCTCCTGAGAACGGCCGAGCGTAACAAGGCACTGGCGGATCGCCGTCGCAACCCTGCCCCAGACTACCAGGTCGGCCAGCAAGTGTGGCTCTCCAGCAGACACATTCCCCTTTGGACTGGGTCCAAGAAACTGGCCCCTCGGTCTCTGGGCCCCTTCTCTATCCAGGAGTTCCTGAACCGGGTGACGGTCCAGCTGGCCCTGCCGCCCGCTATGAAAGTACATAACGTCTTCCATGTTTCTCAGATTAGGCCCGTACGGACCAGCCGTTTGTGCCTGCCCTCCAGGTTATCGACAGCACCCCGCCATGCTCCATTACTCGCATAATGGATGCCAGGCGTCGCAGTAGGGGCTTTCAGTTTTTGGTGGATTGGGAAGGGTATGGTCCGGAAGAACGTTCTTGGGTGCCGCGGTCCGCAATTCTCGATAATCGCATGATGAAAGAATTCAGCTGCAGGCATCCAGACAAGTACAGCAGGTCTCCCGGAGGCTCCCGTTAGAGGGGGGGAACTGTCACGGTCAGACAGTCCTCCCCGGATGACCCTGCTTGTCTATGTATGTGTGTGTGTGTTCACGTCTCCCTCTCTCTCCCCTGTCCTCGAAGCTGTGTTTACGGAAGTGCGCGCTGTAGGGAAGGCGTGACCTGGTGACTTTCATCATTGAAAGTCCCTTCTCGCTGTCACAGGCCCACCTGCATCTGATTACCTGGCCAGCTGTTGGCAATCATCCTTCTTTGCCAGTCGGAGGTATTTAACCTGGGCTAGTGGCAACAGTCGATGTGGGATTATTACTCCAAACTAGTAGAGTATTTGCGAGAAGTGTGCTTTTGTTATTCGGCTAGCGAGTTTGCTAATTGTGGATTTTGTGGATTTCCTTCTTCCTCCAGGAGAGTTGGGTGGAGAATCGAGTTGGGGAGCACACACACTCACGGAGCCTCTGCACGGAGCACATGGGGAGCAAAGGACGAGCCCTGTTTGGAGATTGCACTTTTGTATTGTATTGCTGGACTTACCTGTTTTTCTCACTGTAAATAAATGCACTGTTTTGCTGTTGAATAGAACCGCGCCTGGATCCTCTTTTCCGTGACATGCTGTCCCCAAAACGTTTCCCAATTATCTATATAGGCCACATCGTTTGTTGGACAGGTCTACTGTGAACATCACTGGATCAGAATAATTCATTTATGTGCAAAACAGATAAAGTAGGAGGATACATTGGTGTAACAAGGACAAACAAAAAGGAAGCCACTGGATTGTTGAGTAAGGACAATGAGAGATGACGTGCATACTGTGACATTTAGAGTCAAGGCAGTTTTTTTCTTGCAGTACTGAGAGAACTGACAGTGCATTGTTTTACCTCAGGGCTGCAGCAAGGCCTCGTGGCTCTGCGAGATAGTATGCAAACTTGCAGAGATCCTCCGTCTGCAGGATCCTGCCAGCATTCAGCTGGAACTCGTCACTCTGGCCCGGAACTTCCCCGACCTCAGGTACAACACAATTAATCAAAATACACATTAAAGTATGTCACAAAGCACTTCAGTCTAGGGATGGGTATCGTTTAGGTTTTATCCGATACCGGTTCAAAACTGGTACTTCTGAAACGATGCCGGTGCTCAAACCGGTGCTTAAAGAATGGAGAACACAAACTTTGTCCAAAAACCTCTCATGTTTAGCTGTTTTTTTGTAAAGGAATAACAATGTTAGCCTTTTCTGCAGCTATAGGGCATATATGGTATCACTCTTGGCTGGAAGAAGTGCTTAAACAATGGAAAAAACACAAACTCTGTCCAAAAACCTCTCATGTTTAGCTGTTTTCCCACTTTCTTTGGTCATTTTAGCCTTTTTGGCCAGGGTGAAGGGAGCATCTGACATCAAACAAGAAGATGGCTGCATGTAGCTACGACGGTGTTTGCTAGTTCACCTTACATGCATTAATTTAATAACGTGGTTAGCGTACTCAACGTAAATTACACACAAACAACATTAAGCTACTCACGCAGAGAAGAACGGCTGCTGCTGCCATCATCATCCGTCATCATTTCTGCTACACTGGCAGGGCTAGGGGCCAGGACTCTCCTCTTCGGGTTCTTGGGGGATGTTGCTAACTCGGTGCATTTCTCGGCTTTTAAAAAAACCGCTATGTGTCACCAGATTGGTCGTCAGATTCAAGGTGTTACCTCCTTTGCACAGTATCACCTTAAAGCACTTGTTGCAGGCTGCTGAGTTTGCATCTTTTGCTGTGAAGTACAGCCAGACTTTTGACCGCTTTGCCTTGGGCATTTTTAATCTGTAGCTCTAAAAGAATGTAAGTACCTGGGCCCGCCTACTATCCTTGCAAAGGTAAAATGATTGGCTAGAATCCAAGGTGTATGACATCTCAGGGAAAAAAAAAGCACCGAAATGCACACTGCTTTTCGGTCTGGTTACTACTTCAGACTACTTTAAAGTATCTCAAACTATGTCAGAAAATACTTTAAAGTACTTTGTAATTTGAAAGTACTTTGACATCGTTAACAGGCAGATTCTTCCTGTTAGCAAACGGTGAAATGATGACAAACGCTGATTTGTTCTAGTGATGATAGTACTCAGAGATGTTGAGCTGAACGTGATGTTTGACTGGTTCATTGTGTTGTGTCTGAGTCCCTACTCATTCAGACTGTCACTCATCTAATCAGGCGGCTGCTGGTGATGTCACCTGGTTAACATTCGGGTCATGTTGTTTCATGTTCTTTCCTGATGAATGAAGCTGAGTGGAAGAAAACAACTGAGCGAGCAGCCAAAGCTTTCTTCACTCATTTGTCCAAACACAGAGATTATAAAAACGAAGTCCGCCGACACGTTTAATGAAATAACGAGGAGCAGGGAGCATGAGATGAGGATTAGAACCATCAATAGAGCTTTCAATGCGGGGTTCAGTTTCCCTGCTTTAATCTTTGATCCGGTGGGAGGTCCTGCTGGGTCCCCTTCATGCTCACAGCTTATGTAAGGCCTCAGCCTGCAGACCTTCCTCTGAGTCTGCACACATCACGCTGGCCGAGTTTCCCCTGATCCATCACACCGACTCCCTCCCCGTCCTTTGTGATCCCCACATAAGGGCAGAGCAGCAGCAATTTGTGTGCATGAAATCTCTTTTGTCTGTTTTACATCAGGAATATTTCAGAGCTATTTAGTAAACATCAGATGAAACATTCGTCTCTGTATCAGGACTTTATCTGTCAACCATTGTGATCACTTTCTGTTCTCTTTCATTTCTACAACACTGTGAAAATAAAACCTCAGTGACTGAAAACAGCAGACAGGAAAGATGTTCTCATGTCAGATGGTGGGTGCAACTAGGTGGGGTTCATGTATCACAGGTGTGTAACATGAGTGGAAAAATACTGACTGTCTGACTAGGCTTCCTCTGCTTTATTCCTCTGAACTGTATTTAGGCTTAAAGTTTGCATTATTAGGGGCGTGGCGCGTGACTAACAGGTGGATGGCGACAGAGGTGGCTGTAGCTGCTAGTTTTCTGCTAGCTTCACCTGAACTGGACCTCTGGATCATGTTTGTGCTGTTGGAGCCTTTTGTGTCACGGCTGAGGAGGCGAGCCGTGTGGTGTGGAGGAAGGAGGACCCAAGATGCAAGCAGTGGATGAAAATGCTAGTGAAGTTTAATTACAAGGTGTTGTAGTGGCAAACGTACGGTGGCTGGGAAGTGCAAAGCGAGACAAATTAAAAAACCGCAACAAATTAAAAAACCGCAACAAATTAAAAAACCACAACAAATTAAAAAACCGCAACAAATTAAAAATCCACAACAAATTAAAAATCCACAACAAATTAAAAAACCGCAACAAATTAAAAATCCGCAACAAATTAAAAAACCACAACAAATTAAAAAACTGCAACAAATTAAAAATCCTTGACGGAAAGGGATTGTCTGAAATACCGGAAGTGACACAACGATTAGCCTAATAGGGCTTTTGGAGAGTGATGTCACGAGAGGGGGCGTGGCCAGGATTTTGGGTTGAGGTGCCATGTTTCTGGGCCGAACAAAGCGCTAGCGAAAGAGGAGCGAAAGTACACGGATAACACCAGCTATGGTTCGTACTTGCTGTGCGGTCGGTTGTAAAGTTAGATCGCACGACCGGCAAGGGAATAAGGTTGAAAATGGTTTATATTTTCATTCTTTCCCAGTCCAGGCAGGGCTGGACTGGGACAAAAAATCGGCCTGGGCATTTTGACTAGAGACCGGCCCACCAAAGATGTGACGTCATTCAGGGGTAAAACCGCAAAGGATTCTGGGAACTTGTGGCAAGAGGTACTAGCGCATGCAGGCTTTCAATTGAACTCAGTTACACAGCGATAAAAAGAAACACAAAAAATGGCAAGAAGCTGTTGTATTATTAACTGCAATAGCTGGTGTTGTGCCAAAAAGTGATTTCCGGTATTTGCCAAAACCTGATTGCTCATATTTAAATTGCTATAAGTAACTTGTTGGGCTATAATATGTGAAACATATGTCAAATGCATCCCTCATGGATGACATAAAGTCATCTCTCCATCTCCATCTCTCTCTCCTGCTCTTTTCTTTCTCTCTCTTGCTCCATCTCTCTCTGTAGCTCTTCTGTCTCCTCTGTCACAGACTTCTCCACTTTTGATGATAAATCAGCCTGGTGCAACATGTAAGGATTGGCACAATTGGTTAAGATTTTGAGGAGTTTGAGAAACTAACCTTAAGCATAAAATAAAATTTATAATCAGTAACTTCATAGCACCCGCCCAGCAGTATACAAACTCCGTCATGCTAGCTAGTACGCAGTACCAGTTATTCTAAGCGACTGTAAAAAGTCAGCACAACGAAAACAAACTACAACTAAACTTGGTTTATATCTGACACAGATAGACAGCAGGTCATAACTTCTTACCTGAAGTTCAGTTCCTCTGCCACTGTGACCGGCGGCCGCCTCGGTCTCTCCTCCTCTTGCCTCCCCTTTCCCTTTTTTTTTTTTTTTTTTGTGTCCCGTTTGGATCTATAGCCATCAGAATTGTTGTCTTAAGGCCAAGAAAGATGCCAAGCGGATTTATTTTACCAAGTGGATCATCATGGCTTTGCCATATTGGTCCATTTGATTGACCTTTATTATAATTATGAATTTATTTTATTTTCAGTTGCTACAAACGGGACAGACATGACTGGGGGATAGGACAGGGAGAAAGAATGAAAGAAAGAGAGGGAGAGAAAGAAAACCAAAGGGGAGAAGAGACGGTGAGAAGGGGGGGAAGAAAGAAAAAAAAACACCTGGGTCACCTGTATGGAGAAAAAAAACAGAAGAGAAAGCAAACAACAAAGAGCAACATAATAAAAAAAAAAGGCACCATCACAATAAACTAGCAAGCAGTAGATATCAGTAGATACTAAATAATAAACGATATTGTGCAGCACGCAAGATAGACAGCGTACAATGTGCTTTGAGGCAGCAGCCAAGAAAGCTGTAGTCCGCGTCTGTGAATACCCGTGTGTACACCTGTGTGCATACCTGTGTGGATCAGCATGCTTGCATTCCAAAGGTTTCTCCATGTAACGATCTGCTAGGGAGTGTGGGGAGCCACAGCCGCGTCCTCCAGGGTATGAAGCAGGTATGGAGGAGATCAAAACTCCAGACATCCAGAGGCCCCCAGAACACAAGAGACCAAGGAAGACCAACAGAGGGGCAGCCGCGCCACTGTCCCAGTAAGAGCTGAGGAGAGTCCCAGATGAGGGCTCACTCAGCAGCCGCGGAGCAGAAGCCAGGGGGAGTTGCAGTGACGCGCCCGTGAGCTCCGCCGGCAGCCAGCTGTGCCTGAGTGACCGAGCCCCAGGCCGAGAGTCCGGGGGCACCCCACCTCCGAAGTGGCCCAAGCGAGCCCCAGGCTCCAGGCCCCGATAAGCGGCCGCCAAGGAGTGAGCCGGTGTGTACCCGGACGCCCACCCCCAGACATAAAGAACCACCAACGCACCGACACCTGAGGGAGTCCGCCACTGGCAGGGGAAGTGGTGGTGGGTGGAGATAGGCCTCCAAACCTTGGAGGGCCTGAGATGTCCCCAGAGAGGTGGCGTCTGATACCCAACCTGACATATAGACACAGACATACAGGCACACACAGACACAAACATCCATTCCCACCCTCATGCTCTCATATGCACTTACTCCACACTCAACCAACGTGGAGACAGACATAAAGAGACGCTGTACACACAATCACACTCCCCAAGCGTACTCTACGAACCGGGTCTAGGTACCCTTGCCCCTGTACCTATCCACCTGCTGGCCTGCACCACTTGCTGATGTTGCTAAATCTGTGGAAGCTATGCCATAGCTACCGCCAAACAATTCAGTTATTTTTACACATTTGGCAGCGTCTGCCAGGCAAATGCCCGGTATGCCCAATGGCCAGTCCAGCTATGCTTCCAGGTGGGGAAAGAATGAAAATATAAACCATTTTCAACCTTATTCCCTTGCCGG